CCTCACTCACTCACGTGCTCTGCTCCCCTCCACTCACCTGTGCTGCACCCTAAACCTCTGCCATGGTTTCTAAACCATCCGCCATGCTGTCACACCTGCCATCCCTCCCCACCCCGCCTTGTGCAGAAGGTCTTCTCTCCTTTCTGCGGGCACCGTGAAGAGACCTTCTCACCCCGCCAAGACACGAGACATACTTACAAGTAGGATATTTATTAGGACATGCACCTTGCTCTTGTTTGTATGGTACTTGTGCGTGTGTCGATATAAGAGTTGCGGGGTGGGTTTGGGCTAGGCACGGGTAGGTTGTGCTGGCTGGGCTAGCCTTGGCCCCTACAGCCTGGTTACTGTTCCCGCTGCCCGGTTACAGTTCATGCCGCCCGTCACTGTTCATGCCGCCCGTCACTGTTCATGCCGCCCGTCACTGTTGATGCGCCCGTCACTGGTCGTGCCGCCCGTCACTGGTCGTACCGCCCGTCACTGGTCGTGCCGCCCGTCACTGGTCGTGCCGCCCGTCACTGGTCGTGCCGCCCGTCACTGGTCGTGCCGCCCGTCACTGGGTCGTGCCGCCCGTCACTGGTCGTGCCGCCCGTCACTGTTCGTGCCGCCCGTCACTGCTCGTGCCGCCCGTCACTGCTCGTGCCGCCCGTCTCTGCTCGTGCCGCCCGTCTCTGCTCGTGCCGCCCGTCACTGCTCGTGCCGCCCGGTCACTGCTCCTGCCGCCCGGTCACTGCTCCTGCCGCCCCGTCACTGCTCCTGCCGCCCCGTTACTGTTCATGCCGCCCGATTACCATGCCATGCCATGTCCTCGTGCTCGTTTCCGCCCTTGCTCGTTTCTGCCCTTGCTCGTTTCTGCCGACAGTGACGGGCGCAGCTGGGCAACGGTGCGGCGAGGCTAAGGCGAAGCCAGTGAGGCACGAGGTGAGACAACGGTCCCCACTCTCCTGCCCCCTTCTCCTATGCTCTCACTCTCCTGGCCCCCTTCTCCTATGCTCTCACTCTCCTGGCCCCCTTCTCCTATGCTCTCACTCTCCTGGCCCCCTTCTCCTATGCTCTCACTCTCCTGGCCCCCTTCTCCTATGCTCTCACTCTCCTGGCCCCCTTCTCCTATGCTCTCACTCTCCTGGCCCCCTTCTCCTATGCTCTCACTCTCCTGGCCCCTTTCTCCTATGCTCTCACTCTCCTGGCCCCCTTCTCCTATGCTCTTGCTCTGCACTCGTCGTTCCCTTGCTCTGCACTCGTCGTTCCTTGCTCTGCACTCGTCGTTCCCTTGCTCTGCACTCGTTGTTCCTTGCTCTGCACTCCTCCTCCACCCCCCTGTTTTCCCATCCCCCACTGTTCATCCTATTGCTTCCCCATCCCGCCCACTGCTCACCCCACTGTTTCCCCATCCCGCACTGTTCACCCCCACTGGTTCCCATCCTGCACTGTTCACTCTCCGCTCTGGTCTGGATGAGGCTCGGAGAGCCATGCTGTCACACCTGCCATCCTGCCACCCCTCCCCACCCCGCCTTGCGCAGGTGGCCTTCTCTCGCTGCAGGGCGCCGTGAAGAGACCTTCTCACCCCGCCAAGATAGAGGCACATCTACAAGTAGGATATTTACAAGGACATGCACCTTGCTCTTGTTTTGTACGGTACTTGTGTGTGCGTGTGTCGATATATAAGAGCTGCGGGGTGGGTTTGGGCAAGGCTAGGCACGGGGTGGGTTTGGCCTAGCCTTGGCGCCTGCAAGCCCGGTTACTGTTCATGCCGCCCGCGCTGCTGTTTATGCCGCCCGGTTACTGTTCCTGTCGCCTGCTTACCGTTCCAGCCGCCCGGTTATCGCTCCAGCCGCCTGGTTACCACTTCACCAGCCTGGTAATCGCTCCAGCTGCCCGTTAATGTTCCAGCCGCCCAGTTACTGCTATGGCACCTGGTTACTGTTGCTGCCGCCCAGCTGCTGTTCGTGCCGTCTTGTTACTGTTCCAGCCACCTTCTGACAACATGAACAGGAACAGGAACATGAACAGGAACAGGAACCTGAACAGGAACAAGAACAAGACCAGGACCAGGAACCTGAACAGGAACAGGACCAGGACCAGGACCAGGAACAGGAACAAGACCAGGACCAAGACCAGAACCAGAACCAGGAACAAGACCAGGACCAGGACCAGAACCAGGACCATGCCATGCCATGCCTGGGATAGATGCCATGCCAGGGATTGGGGGTTGGGGGGGGGGCCGTGTGGGGGGCTGTGAGGGGATTTGGAGGGGATTTGGGGGGTAGGGGGGCCTTAGGGGGGCCTTAGGGGGGGCCTTAGGGGGGCCTTAGGGGGCCTTAGGGGGGCCTTAGGGGGCCTTAGGGGGGCCTTAGGGGGGCCCTTAGGGGGGCCTTAGGGGGGCCTTAGGGGGGCCTTAGGGGGGGCCTTAGGGGGGGGGCTTAGGGGGGCCTTAGGGGGGCCTTAGGGGGGCCTTAGGGGGGCCTTAGGGGGGCCTTAGGGGGCCTTAGGGGGCCTTAGGGGGGCCTTAGGGGGGCTTAGGGGGGCCTTAGGGGGCCTTAGGGGGGGCCTTAGGGGGGCCTTGGGGGGGCATGGGGGGGTTTCATCTCCCCTCTCGCTATTGTCACTCTCTTTATTGTCCACGCTCTGCGTTATAGTACCCCTTGTTTGCTCTACGTATATCATACATGCAGTACAGTACTTGCAGGAAAACATGCAATCGGAGGCAGACAAACTGTTTGAACTCCGAGCGAGAGAGAAGAGGAGGCATATACACACAGATGATGAAAACATCCTGCAATCCCACCTTCCGAGCGGCAAGGATACACCGATACCTAGCAGCACGCTCTAGCACGGTGACATCCCCCAGTCCACCACAATAGAAGGGGTAGTAGACAGATGCTGGATGGGAGATGCAGTGGCATGGCGGATCAAGCTGCAGTGGCTGTGGCAAGTGCAGGAGCTGAGCAGAGTCCAAGCGTGGTAGACAGGTGCTCGACAGGAGACGACAAGGCAGATCAAGCTGCAGTGGCTGTGGCAAGTGCAGGAGCTGAGCAGAGTCCAAGCGTGGTAGACAGGTGCTCGACAGGAGACGACAAGGCAGATCAAGCTGCAGTGGCTGTGGCAAGTGCAGGAGCTGAGAAGAGTCCAAGCGTGGTAGACAGGTGCTCGACAGGAGACGACAAGGCAGATCAAGCTGCAGTGGCTGTGGCAAGAGCAGGAGCTGCATCCGATTCCTCATCACTTCCACCTCCCCCAGATGAGCCTCCCTTGCTTCCTCCCCTTGGCCCTCCTCTCCCTTCCCTCCCGCCTTCTCTCCTCCCCCCTCGTTATCCTGCAACCACCGCTCCCACGAGCCCTCCCCTTGCAGTATGTGGGCCCCACACCCCGGTACCCCGTCCTCGCCCTCCTCCCCCTCGTGCCCCACCGATGCCTCGTCCAGCACCACTGCTTCCACCAGAGAGCTGGGGACCTGGTGGGGATGGCAGGGATGGCAGGGACGGGAAGATCAGGCTTGGAAGAGCAGGGATAGGAGGGATGGATGGATGATGGCAGAGTGCAGGTTACCCCGTCGCCCCCCTCCTCCCCCTCGTGCCCCACCGATGCCTTGTCCAACACAACTGCCTTCACTAGACTGCTGGGGACCTGGTGGGTTGGGGCATGAGATGACGGATGGGCGTGGAATGAGGGCAATGATCAAGGACACAGTTGCACACCGGCTTGCCCTCTTCCCCTTCCTCCCCCTCGTGCCCCACCGATGCCTCGTCCAGCACCACTGCTTCCACCAGATTGCTGGGGACCTGGGGAGTTGGGGTGGGAAGGACGGAATGGAGGGATGGATGGAGGGAAGCAGCGAGCAGGTTAACCCCACCTCCCCTCCGAGCAGGTTAACCCCACCTCCCCTCCGAGCCCCCACTGATACCTCATCCAACAACATTGCCTTCACAACAATACCAAGGTCCACTGGCGATCACAGTACCTCATACACAGCCTTGGTAACTGCCGTACGTACCTCAAGCAGTGCCTCGGTAACTGCTGTACGTACCTCATACACAGCCTTAGTAACCGCCGTACCTTTTGTTAGCCTGTTACACCGTACCCCGTACATAGGCCTGGTGAGTACCGTATCTATTACATTGTACCTCATACAGAGGCTCAGTAACCGCCATACCTCATACATAGCCTCGGTAATCATCATACCTCATACACAGCCTCGGCAGCCACCATACCTCGTACATAGCCTCGGCAGTCGCCATACCTCGTACATAGCCTCGGCAGTCGCCATACCTCGTACATAGCCTCGGTGAGCAGCCCCTCCAAGCAGCGATCGCAGCCCCCCTAGGCCCCCGTGTTTCGCGCTGCTGCTCTATGCGCGCCTATGGCCCTCACTGCCCCCTCCGTCATGTGCAAGCGGGCCTGAGTGGGTGGAGTGGAAGGGAGGGCAGGAAGAGATGAGATGGAGATGGCACGAGGTCATGAAAAGGGCCAAGGAATGGGTGCTGTACTCCACGCACATGGCCCCTCACTGCCCTCCTCTGTCATGTGCAGACGGGCCTCAGTAAGAGGGGAGGGGAGGATTGGGAGAGCATGAGGACAAGGAAGAAGGCAACACTGAGTGCTATTCTGCATCCTGTAGCTTTGCAAATTGCACTTGCTTGCTAACCGAGAACTGTCTGGATTTCTTATTTATACAATAGAAAACACAATGCTCGTGACCCACAACCAGCAGCCCACACTGCACTCACGTTGTTCATGGCCAATAGCTTGGCGAATTGCTTGCTGAGGGCGTTCTTGGGCTTTAAGAGAACCTGCAAGTGAGAGGCCACACCGAGAGGAGGAGAACGAGTACGGAGAAGGAGCAGGAGGGTGGGGAGAGGGATAAGAATCGGGTAGTGTTTCAGGGGTTACAACCCGCGGGCCAAGAACTTCAACCTTAGGAAGCTTGGTTGGAGCGGAGCAACACAATTGGCCAAGATTTTGGGTGCGAGGGCCAAACTCAACCAAGGTTAGGAAGGTTGAGGCAATTTGGGCCTTCTTGGCCCTCCGGTTTAAGAACGTAAATTTTCTGGGCAGGGATTAGGAAAAGAAGATGGACCAAAATACGTGTCGAATCGTGCAAGGAAAGCCACTCAGCTCTGTATATAGACATAATTCGAAGTGCATAAGAAAGGTCCTTTGCTTCCACCTGCACCAGTTGCCACCTGCACCAGTTGCCACCTGCACTACACCTACCTGCACATGTTGCTCTTTTGTGAAAGCACGCAGGCCCCATGAGACACCAGCTGTTGTTACCAAAGCCTACACACAACCAGTCATTACCCGCACCAGTCATTACCCGCCACCAGTCATTACCCGCACCAGTCATTACCCGCACCAGTCATTACCTGCACCAGTCATTACCAGCACAGTCATTACCTGCCACCAGTCATTACCTGCACCAGTCACTACCTGCACCAGTCATTACCAGCACCAGTCACTACCTGCACCAGTCATTACCTGCACCAGTCATTACCTGCACCAGTCATTACCTGCACCAGTCATTACCTGCACCAGTCACTACCTGCACAGTCATTACCTGCACCAGTCATTACCTGCACCAGTCATTACCCTGCACCAGTCAATTACCTGCACCAGTCATTACCTGCACCAGTCATTACCTGCACCAGTCACTACCTGCACCAGTCATTACCTGCACCAGTCATTACCTGCACCAGTCATTACCTGCACCAGTCACTACCTGCACCAGTCATTACCTGCACAAGTCACTACCTGCATCAGTCATTACCTGCACCAGTCATTACCTGCACAAGTCACTACCTGCATCAGTCATTACCTGCACGAGTTGCTCCTCTGTGAGCGCATGCAGCCCCACCAGCACGGGGAATCGCCCCACAAACTCAGGGATGAGCCCATAGGCTATCAGATCCGTGCTCTCTGCCTGCCGTTCCAGAGGGGTAGGGAGGGGGTGGGGACGGGTGGGGAGGGATGTTGAACGATGGGGAGGGAGGATCTGGAGGGGTATAACAATAACACAAGGAATCGCCCCACAAACTCGGGGACGAGCCTGTAGGCTACCCGATCTGTGCTCTCTGAGTGCAGTTGATGAGCAAAAAAAGACGGGGGGGGGGGGGGGGGGGGGGGGGTGGGGAGATACGGGAATTGCGGGTAGAGAGACAACTTTTGAGGCGCCTCAAAAGTGCTCCTCTGCGAGCCGTTGATACAAAAAAAGGGGGAAAGGGGGTTTGCGGGGTGGCGGGGAAAGGATGGTTGAAGGAAGAGCACGCATCAACTGCAGCAGGTGGCTTATAGGACAGTGAAAAGCAGCTCTCAAAAGCAGCACGCCCACAAAGCACACACAGCAAGTGTTGCAAGCATGGATCGCTGGCAACGCGCTAAAACAATGACAAAACAAAAAAAAACAAAACAAAACCCAACCAAACAATCAAACCAACAGACAAATCAACCAAAAAAACAAACAAACAAACCAACGGTATAGAGTTAGCACTCACCGATTGCAGCAGCGAGCCGGCAGTGCGGGCGTCAAGCACCGATCGGTTTGCGCAGCGATGCGCGCACGGGGGCCCCGAAGCCGATGGATGACTTGTGCTTCCTGCACGCAGCAAGGTAATATTGGATTTGAGTCATGGAATGCAGTCAGTCTCATGTCTGCTTGCAATGATTGCAGCAATGTCACACGGGGGCCCCGAAGCCGATTGATGACTTGCGCTTCCTGCAACAAATGAATGGTAATAGAGAGAGTCAAGACATGCAGTCAAGACAACATTGTATGTGCTTGCAGTGCTTGCAGAGTTGCGCGCTTAGGAGCTCTGAGGGCTAGCATAGCACAGCCAACGAAAGGCAGGAGATACATTCCTAACATTGACTGCAGACAATCAGACCGATTCAAACCGCAGTCAATGTTAGAGTCAAACTGCAGACAATTATTGAAAGTCGTTTCTAACATGTGGGTGGGTCATCAGAGTAGGCAAAGTAGTTAAGATGGGACTGCATTCCTGACATTGCCTGCATACACAGTTGTAGCACACACTGCTGCGGCGAAGACAATCGCACTGAAAGGCGAGAAACGGTTGGCTTCATTTTCCCTGCCCCAAAACCATGGTTGCGCACCTTCAGTGCGATTGTCTTTTCTTCGATTTTTTTTTTTTAGGTCATAACTGACGACAGCAGACGTATCAGTGAGTGCATTTCGAGTCAGCAAATTTTGAAGGAATCTCAAAAACCTGACAATAGCAGACGTATCAGTGAGTGCATTTTGAGTCAGCAAATGTTTTGAGAAATCTCAAAAACCTGACGATAGCAGACGTATCAGTGAGTGCATTTTGAGTCAGCAAAAGCAGCCTCCGCCTCACCTCTCTGCAATCGTCTTTTCCAGATCCACGAATGCCCCTCCACAGATGAAGAGAATGTTCTGTGTGTCCAGCTGGCGGGGTGGGATAAGGGGAAGCATTGGGGTGGATGGGGCATCGGGCATGTGGCTTGGGGCGTGGGGGTGGGAATAGCAGGCAGCGGCAGTGGAGGGCAGATGAAGAGAATGTTCTGTGTGTCCAGCTGGTGGGTTGGGAGGGGAAAGGCAAAGTCAAGTATGGGAAAGGGGGTATTGGGCTGGGAATGGCTGGCACGGCAAGCAACAGAGGTGAGGGTTTGATGAAGAGTATGTCTTGTGTGTCAACCTGGTGGGATGGGTGGGGCAAAGAAAGGGGAGGTATGCGGGAGGGGAATGGCAGGCAGTAAGCATGAACGGAGACAACTCCTGACGCGCCTCAAAAGTTGGAATAAGAGGTGGTAGACATACTCTTCATCGACCCTCACCTCTGTTGAGGTAAATTCCAAGGGGATGAAGGTCGCTAGCCATGCTAACAAACACACTCCGGCTTGGAATGCGCCTCAAACGTATCTAGCCATTGAGCAGAAACCCTTTCGCTCTGTGTGATATTCGTTGTGATTTCCAGGCATTCGGCACAGAAACACCCCGGTATCGTTGTTCTACCCCCGTACCCCTGCACCCCTGCAACCCTCGCACTCCGTGTTTGAAGAAGTGTTTTTGAGACGTCTCAAAACAGAAACACCCGGTATCGTTGTTCTACCCCCGTACCCCTGCACCCCTGCAACCCTCGCACTCCGTGTTTGAAGAAGTGTTTTTGAGACGTCTCAAAACAGAAACACCCGGTATCGTTGTTCTACCCCCGTACCCCTGCACCCCTGCAACCCTCGCACTCCGTGTTTGAAGAAGTGTTTTGAGACGTCTCAAAACAGAAACACCCGGTATCGTTGTTCTACCCCCGTACCCCTGCACCCCTGCAACCCTCGCACTCCCGCACCCCTGTAGCCCGTACCTGTATGAACTCGCCTCTTGGATTCTTCCTCCCTGTTTTCTCTGGCACATTGATCACCTGCCACCCGGGAGAAGAGGGGAGGAGCAGGGGGAAGACCGGCACGTGAGACTTACAAGGCGCCCTAAATCTCTGAAGGACTTCCTCCCTGTTTTCTCTGGCACATCAATCACCTGCACCCAGGGCCCAGGGGGAGTGAGAAGATCCGCTCCGCACCAGTAGGTAGAGGGACACACACGTGTGACAAACGGGCTCATGGATGCTCACACCACCCTCACAGCGCCCCTCAGCATCCTCAACAACGGCGGCCGCACGCCCTCCCCTGCCACATCTCAAACGCCAATAGACCTGTGTCTCTCATCCCACCGTCCTTCAAACCAGCTCACATCATATCCCCTTACAGCCCACCCCTTCCCCCCCACTCACAGCGCCCTCGAGCATTCTCAACAGCGCCTGCTGCACGCCCTCCCCTGACACGTCCCTCCCATCCCGCCTCCTCCAACCTCCTCACATACTCCCATACCCTCCCTCCCCCCCCCTCTTCTTTACTCACAGCGCCCTCAAGCATCCTCAAAAGCGCCTGCTGCACGCCCTCCCCTGACACGTCCCGTGTGCTCGTGATGCCCTCTGCCTGTGCAGTCATACAGGGCGCGGAGATGAGAGAGGGGGGAGAGAGGAATCAGTAAGACACTTATTGGATAAGACACTCCAACACGCCTTTCCCTGACACGTCCCGTGTGCTCGTGATGCCCTCTGCCTGTCCAGGCACGCACAGAGGGGAGAGCGGGGGCTGTCCAGATTAAGCTCATGTTTTTAGTGCGCGTGTCAATCTCATCTATGTTTACAATGCCCTTCTGCGCTGCTGCTCTGGTGGGGTGGGGAGCACCTACTTAGCGCCAGTGCCGCTAGTGCCCCTAGTGCTGCTAGCAAGCCTACCTTCTTGGTAAGCTTGTCGATCTCGTCGATATACACGATCCCTGCTGCGCTGCTGCTTTAGTGGGGGGGGGTTGCATCTCCTAGTGCCCATGCAGCTAGTGCCGCTAGTGCTGCTAGCGAGCCCACCTTCTTGGTAAGCTTGTCGATCTCGTCGATATACACGATGCCCTGCTGCGCTGCTGACACACTGAAATTGGCGCTCTGCGTAAGACAAATGGACAGTCACGCACACACACACACCACCATGGGAATCACACACAGAACAGATAGTCATGAACATGCAAGCATGCACATCAGGAGCAAAATGAATGTAACTTGTAAGGAGCAGTTGAGCTACGTGAAGCCACCCGGGGTTGGGACCCGGGTGCAGCAACCCCTACCCTCACCTCCACTTGTAGGTGCAGCAACTTGTAAAATATCATCTCCGCGTCCTCTGCACGACAAGCTAACACCTCTACTGACCCGTCTCACCTCTTCCAAACCCCCTCACCTGCAGCAGCTTATAGAGAATCATCTCCACGTCCTCTCCCACATACCCCGCCTGCACGAGGAGCAGAAACACTAACATAACATAACCCCCCCACCCCCCACTCCCAGTCCCAACCCCAACAACCCCTTCTGTCCCTCACCTGCAGCAGCTTATAGAGAATCATCTCCACGTCCTCTCCCACATAACCAGCCTGCACGACAAACAGCACCAGAGAATGAGAAATAGGTGAGCGTTGGCTCAGGAAACACAGTTCTAGTAGAAAGCCCGTTGTCCTGCATGCCATTGTAACGAAGTGACCTTTGAGGCGAATCACGAGTCATCGTGTGGGAATTGGCTCAAGAGCAACGGTGATAGTAATAATATGCCCCTTGTCACGCACTCCCTAAGTGGCATACCATGACACGGGAGAGTTAACCCTACTGGTTAACCATACTGGTGAACTCTCCCGTGTGAAAGAGTGTGGAAACCAGGCTGTATCCAACCTGAGAATCAGAGAGACGCAGCTGGGTGTGGAAGTTGATGAGAGTGGCGGTATGAGACGCAGCTGAGTGAGAGTAACCTTTGAGTCAATTAAGAGTCACCTCGTTAAAGGCGCACCTGAGTGAGAGTGGTGGCATCAGCAATGGCGAATGGCACGTTGACAAACCGAGCCAGAGTCTTGGCCAGTAGGGTCTTGCCTGCACGCGTTTGGGGGGGGGGAGGGGATAGTCACCCACCAGTGTGTGGGGGGAGGGGACTTTTTTGAGTCGACTCAAAAATCAGCAATGGCGAATGGCACGTTGACAAACCGAGCCAGAGTCTTGGCCAGTAGGGTCTTGCCTGCATGCACTGCACCCAAGGGACAGCAGCGGTTGAAATACCGCCCGCAAAGAATAAGGTAGGGAGTGGCCTGGGATGTTGACCACATTGCCATCACAGGCCGGACAGGCGCGGAGCGGGTAGGGAGTGGGCGGATGGAGTGGAGCCGATAAGGTGAGTTGACAGGTGGGGAGTGGGATAAGTTGAGTGGAGAGAGACACACGCGTGAGCGAGATGAGAAGCACGTTGCTCATGAGACCGCTGGGCGACAGGAAGGCAAGAACGCATACACGCATTCATGAGCCTGTTAAAATCTTCCCTCCAATAAACCCTCTGGGCAGCCCTTGCTTGACAGGCGATAGTACCTGAACAGCTGTATGCGAGCGACATGATCGGGGCCCGTGCGAGGGACCCATGTGTCAGTCAGTTGGGCCCATCGAGTTTTGAGACGACACGACACCTGAACCCGTCCAAACACCTACTGCTTCCGATGGGCTGCATCCACCCACCCACCCACCAGAGCCTGTGGGTCCCTCCCATGAGCACCACGTTGCTCTTCCCCACCTGCACCTCGTCCCATGCTTGCCCTACCCTATGCTATTCCGCTGCTCCCATGCGGCCCTGCCCCCCGTATGCTGCAGTGGTGATTCTTGCACCCACCTGAACCCGTGGGGCCCATCAGCAGCACGTTGCTCTTCTCCACCTCCACCTCGTCCTCCTCACCGCCCCCCACCAGGTTCTCGCACGCCCTTCAGGGGGGAAGAGAGGTGGAAGAGAGGGCGACGGGGGCATAGGGAGAGGGTAGGGAGTGAGGGGCACGTTGCTCTTATCCACCATGGGGGTGAGCAAGAACAGAAGTGAGTGAGTGAGGGAGGGCGGACAGTGGGCAAAATGTGGAGCAAGCCTAATCTCTTTCCCCCATGTGAGGTGTAGAAAAGGGGATCGTTCAGGTAGATGACCGGTCACTCCCTCTCCCTCTCCCTCTTAATCCTTGCTTGAATCACTTTAAAGAACATTTCCTCTCCCTCTCCATCCCTCACCACACACAGCACACAGCCCCTCTCCCACTTCCTCTCCTCCCCCTCTCACCCCTCTGGCAGGTTGGCAAGTCTTTCCCGCTTCTGGTTTTCAAGAAAGATGCGCTTGTAGTGATTGTAAACTGCCACTGCCAAAACCTGCAGCAAAGGGTAGCATACGGGGATCGGAAAGGGCTCGTAACGAAATGAGCTTATAGAGAAGATGCGCTCGTAGTGGGTACACCACCGCCACTGCAAACATTCGGTTACAAATAAAATCAAAAGAAGAAGAAAAAATACTGCTCTTAGCGAGTCTGTGACTGTAAACCTGTTACACCACCAGCCTAACAGTAACTGCCACGTCACCAGCACCCGCTCACCTTTTTCGCATTATCCTGCCCGATCACAAATTCATCCAGAGCTGCCCGGATCTGCTTGGGCGTGGGCAGATTCTCCCCAGATTCGCCCCTCCCCAGTTGTGCTCTGTCCCGTCCTCCCCTCCCCCTGCCGCCCCAAAACACGGCACATGCCCCTCCCTCCCCTCTCGCCCTTCCCGCCCTTCCCGCCCCTCCCTCCCCTCCCCTCCCCCGCTCTGCTGCCCCCTCCCCCGCTTCTCCCCCGCACCCGCGCCAGGCGCGGGGGGGATCTGCGTGGGCGCGGCCAGGGGGGACGGGGGCGGAGGCGGGGCGGGGGGGCCTCTGGGGGCGTGCAGGAGGGGGGAGGAGAAGCTAGGGGGATACGCGCTGGCGCTGCTTCCGCCACCGCCAGGGCTTCTATTCCTTCCGCTGCTGCCCACCTGCTGCCCCTCACTCCGCCCCTGCCCCTGCCTTTGCGCTTTCTTTTCTCCCCCCGCGCCTGCCTGTCCCTGCCCCTGCTGCCCCTGTCCCTGCGCCCACGGGTGCCCCCCCCACCCCTGCAAACTCGCCTTGAACCGATTCACATACTCCTCCCGCGCATCCCTCCGCGCGCTCCCCCCTTCCCCCCCGCTCGCCCCGCCCATCATCCCGTCCAGCTCGCTGCGCGCAGACCTGCCGCCCGGGCGGCCGTCTTGGCGGCTAAGTTGCCGCCCAAAGCGGGACCACTGCCACGCGTCAGAGGCGGGGGGCTCGGGGGGAGTGACGGCGGAAAGGGGGGAGACATGTTTCCAGTCCGCTTCATACCAGTCCGCCTCCACAAACTCCCCCACTCTCGCGCCCCCCCCCCGGCCTTGCCCTTCCCCAATCCTTCCCCCTTCCCCCCGCTTGCGCACTGCCCTTCCGCCGTCACCTGCGGCTGCCCCTCTTCTTTCCCCTTCCGCCCATTCTCCGCCTCCCCTGTCCCTCTCGCCACCGGCCTGTCGGTGAATCGCTGGCATTGGCGGCAGAACAGCACCGCGCGCCCGCTCGTGCGCGCCTCCGCCGCGGACATGGGCGGAGATAGCGCGGACGCGGACGGGGAGGAGGGGGAATGGGGGAAGGCAAGCGCGGGGAAAGAGAGGAGCGAGAGGGGCGCGCGGCAGTTGGGGCACAGCAGCTCCTCGTCCCCGCGCCCGCTCCCCCCTCCGCCTCCGTCACCCGCTCCCGCCGCTCCGCCACCCCCGGCAACCACACCGTCGCTTCCGCCTCCCCGCACACCAGCCCCGCCCTCCCCCCCATCCCCGCCCGCTCTCTCCGCCGTCGCCGCTATTTAGATATATTAGATCAGCGACAGCGAGCTAACGAGCGACACTTTAGGTATATTAGATCAGCGACAGCGAGGAAACGCCACATGAGCGCGTATATCAGTCCAAACGGGCAAATAAGGGCTGCGACTACTACTGCTCGCTGCTACTGCTAGTACTAGGGCGCCTTGTTTTCGGAAACCTAAATTTCCAACTCATGGAAACAAACCTAACAGCGCGACACAAAATACTCGATAGGAAACGCTGGCGTTTAAGTTACGCGAATGAACCAATAATAGTAGCGACTGAGTCGACGCGAAGTGCCACAAGTACTACTAGTACCTGCTATACTACTACTAATTCTGCTAGCGACTAGTGCAATTATACTACTGCTACCGTACTAACAATGATGGGCTATGGAGGGTGGGTGGGTGGTGGTATAAGGCTGAAGTGAGAGGGTGGATCACTGTAGTGAACGAAGGAATCGGATCTTGGCAGGCAGCGTTGGCTTGCTCCCTTTGTTCTGTGAACCGATATTTTCCACACGGTTGAAAACTGTGTAACCGTTTTCGACCGTTTCAGCCAAGCGCGCTGAATGGAATGGCTCAGCCGACGGGACACGTGGACTGCGCCTGGGGTTGAACTGCCCATTGCCCAACTGTACCAAGCACAGCCCTCTGTGAAGCTCGCACGAACCATCCAGTCTGCGCAGAACAGACAGGACGGGCTCGATCAGGTTTTGGCGTTTCTCGTCGACGAGCACTGCGGCAGTACAGTGCGAGTACGGCTGGGTGGGTGAGGTCACAAATGAGGCGAGAAATAATACACTCACGATTTGCGAATCTGCTTTGTCGACCTACCGGGTGGAAATCACTACCGGGTTAAACAAATAGCTTCAGTTTTCGGGCGTCATCTCAGTCAAAAGGCAAGCAGAGTGGCGAAACAAAATTTGTTTTAGCAAAACACCGATCGTGCTTTGCAGAGTGGCCAAGGGACTGGTGCGAAATACATACACCCTACATTACGAGTTTACTGGTGCTACTAGTGCTACTACGACGAGCTGGCGAGGGGTGGTGCTAGGTGGCGCAATGAAGGTGATGTGAGCGGGTGCTTTGGTGGAAGTGTTGTGGTGAATCTGGGGTCAAGTTCGGGGAGTGTTTCATTGCAGACGTGGTTTGTGAAACCCGAGTTCTTATCTCTCAGTTGAGAACGGTCAAACTGTTTCAAAAATGTTTAGCCTAGCGGAGTGAATCGATACGCGACAAATGCTTCAAGCGGGAGAATGTACCGCGCCCTACGGAGTGTTCACCTGTTTGTGCAGAGTCGAGCTTCAAGCTCAAACAGTTCCTAGCCGTCATGTACAGTGAAGAAACAAGCAGGGTAGGAGGGGTTGGGCTGGGTGGCGGACACTCGCTACAGTTCGGGCACACCTGCATTGCCCAGCAGTCGTAAGCGCCTACGCTGGCAACCCACCCCAAGCGCAAAAACCCATGCCCATTCGTTTTGTTTTTTGAACCTGCTGCTGAGCTTGAGGCTCGCCTTCCGCCCAGAGAACGAAAAGGCTTGAGGGTGGAGTTGGGAAGGGGCCAAATCTCGTGCTTAAAAATGCAAGGAGTGGCGAAAAAAAACCCTGGGATGCAAAACACCAGACGGTGCTGTGACGGCATATATTTACATCCAAGCCGTCTACAGTACAAACCAAAGGCTGGTTCCGCCCAGAAACCAAAGGCTGGGCGAGCACCAGGTGGGTTGATCAAACGTCACTATTTGCTGGCATGGCAACGCACCGACACGAAAATCGATATTCAGGGGTTTCGGTACGTTACACAGCGGTTTAGGGAAAATGTTTGAGCAAAAAGAATGGTATCCAAAGGTCCCCACCACACTCCCCCATTCGTGGAATGCTGGAGCAAGACTTCAGCAGGCCAATGCGGATTTCACTGCTGAATACAGACCAAAATTTTCAACGGCCTGGATCGTGCCACATCATTTTCACACACCCTCACCTTCCCAAGTGTACAGAGTGAACTGTATCCCTCCCACCACTCGCACCCCTGCTGATTTGCGAGCACGGGTGGTCGTCTGCTGCAATCTGACGGTTCACGATTCGCGAGCTTCAGAAGGGATTACGAGATTCAGGGCGCGGTACATGTGTCTGTCTACAGAAAATTTCACGATTAACACAGTGCGCGCGCCTAAAACACTTGGAAAAATGTTTTACCGTTCTGAACCGTGTGCACCGAGTCAGGGTTTCAGAAACAAAAGAGGGAGCAAACGCTGCCTCAGATCCATCCACACTTATCCTTTCCGCTGAGGAGCCGACCCCCTCCCCCACATCAGCTTTATCGCACCACCGTCGCTAGTAGCAGTAGCACTTCGTCGTATTAGCTAGTAGTAGATAATAGTATCATTCAAAGCCCGCTTTCTCGTTCTCTGAAAAGGCACCGACTTCCGCTAATCACACTCATCACACACCGTCGACAGCGGTAGTAGCACCAGTATTAGTAAGTAGTAGTCGTACAAATCTTGCGTTAATAATGAACGTGATCCTATGCATGCGAAATGGTTACGACAGCCACCGCCAGACGACGGCCTGGGCTTAGCGGCGTGGTTTAAATCCTCGTTCGACGGGAGCCTTTCGCGGTCGTTTAAATTACCGCCATTAGTTTCAAACTAGGTGAAATGTCATGCGTGCCGTTCTTGTCGGGCTCAGCGGAGCAGGCGGCAAGCGAGGCTGCCAAGAAGCGCGCGCGCTGAGAAAATCACGCCTCTCGTTCGTCACCGCGGCCCGTCCTCTCGCGTTGCTACGTTGCTACTGCCGCTGCTTGTTCAAAACGACTTAGGATTGGAGAGCATGGCAGAAATCACCAGCTTCTCATGCTTCATCATGCGAGTGCTGGACTGGCTGGTGGCCATCATGATGGCATGGCAGCAAAGCACCAGGCTATGGGTATCTGTGTGGATGCAGCGTCAACTAAGACTGAAAAGCACCACCCAATGTGTTTCGGCCTTTACCTTCCCTTGCTCCTGGGCTCGCAACCGCTGCCCACTCCTCACTTCCCTTGCTCCCTCCCGTCACGGGGTCCACTCACCCCTCGCTATCCAAACCTTTCCCCTCTCTCCCTTCCCTATGCAGTTTGGTCATGTTAAAACACACCCTTCTGCTGCTGTTGCTTCTGTTGGGGCTGTTTGCTGCTGTTGCTTCTGGTCGGTCCGTCACTGCTTGCTTGCTACTACTGCTGCCGTCACTGCTTGCTTGCTACTACTGCTGCCATCACTGCTTGCTTTCTATTGCTGCTGCCATCACTGCTTGCTTTCTACTGTGCTGCCATCACTGCTTGCTTGCTACTACTGCTGCCATCACTGCTTGCTTTCTACTGTGCTGCCATCACTGCTTGCTTGCTACTGCTGCTGCCATCACTGCTTGCTTGCTACTGCTGCTGCCATCACTGCTTGCTTTCTACTGCTGCTGCCATCACTGCTTGCTTTCTACTGCTGCTGCCATCACTGCTTGCTTGCTACTGCTGCTGCCATCACTGCTTGCTTGCTACTGCTGCTGCCATCACTGCTTGCTTGCTACTGCTGCTGCCGTCACTGCTTGCTTTCTACTGCTGCTGCCATCACTGCTTGTTTGCTACTGCTGCTGCCATCACTGCTTGCTTGCTACTGCTGCTGCCATCACTGCTTGCTTGCTACTGCTGCTGCCATCACTGCTTGTTTGCTACTGCTGCTGCCATCACTGCTTGCTTTCTACTGCTGCTGCCATCACTGCTTGCTTTCTACTGCTGCTGCCATCACTGCTTGCTTTCTACTGCTGCTGCCGTCACTGCTTGCTTGCTACTGCTGCTGCCTTCACTGCTTGTTTGCTACTGCTGCTGCCGTCACTGCTTGCTTGCTACTGCTGCTGCCTTCACTGCTTGCTTGCTACTGCTGCTGCCATCACTGCTTGCTTGCTACTGCTGCTGCCATCACTGCTTGCTTGCTACTGCTGCTGCCATCACTGCTTGCTTGCTACTGCTGCTGCCATCACTGCTTGCTTGCTACTGCTGCTGCCATCACTGCTTGCTTGCTACTGCTGCTGCCATCACTGCTTGCTTGCTACTGCTGCTGCCATCACTGCTTGCTTGCTACTGCTGCTGCCATCACTGCTTGCTTGCTACTGCTGCTGCCATCACTGCTTGCTTGCTACTGCTGCTGCCATCACTGCTTGCTTGCTACTGCTGCTGCCATCACTGCTTGCTTGCTACTGCTGCTGCCATCACTGCTTGCTTGCTACTGCTGCTGCCATCACTGCTGCTTGCTACTGCTGCTGCCATCACTGCTTGCTTGCTACTGCTGCTGCCATCACTGCTTGCTTGCTACTGCTGCTGCCATCACTGCTTGCTTGCTACTGCTGCTGCCATCACTGCTTGCTTGCTACTGCTGCTGCCATCACTGCTTGCTTGCTACTGCTGCTGCCATCACTGCTTGCTTGCTACTGCTGCTGCCATCACTGCTTGCTTGCTACTGCTGCTGCCATCACTGCTTGCTTGCTACTGCTGCTGCCATCACTGCTTGCTTGCTACTGCTGCTGCCATCACTGCTTGCTTGCTACTGCTGCTGCCATCACTGCTTGCTTGCTACTGCTGCTGCCATCACTGCTTGCTTGCTACTGCTGCTGCCATCACTGCTCGTTTGCTACTGCTGCTGCCGTCACTGCTTGCTTTCTACTGCTG